AGGAGGAGGGAGAAAGGACAGGAAGGAAGGAAGGAGTTTTGAGGAGAGGAGGAGGAGGAAAGGAAGGAAGGAAGGAAGGGAAGCGGGAGGAGGAGGAAGGAGGAGGAGAAAGGGAAGGAAGGAAGAAGGAGGAAGAAGAGAGAAAGGAAGGAAGGAAGGGCGAGGAAGGACGTTAGTTATTGATTCAGTTTTTTAGATGGAAAAATTGAGTTTTTGATTTTCATGATATTTTCGAACTAACAGAAACAGAAAGGTGGCTGGACAGCAGGATGACGTTAGGCTGCAGACTGATAATTGATTATTGATCAGCTGCAGACTCACCCTGGAAGCTTCCTCTGCTGCCCACAGACATTCTCTCCTCATCATCTGAAATCTGAAACACACAAACACACAGGACTTGAGACCAGATCCACCAGTCTGACCCAGGACCAGGTCCTAACCCAGGTCCCCTGGTTCTCCTCCTAAATTCCAGGTCGCAGGTCCTTGTCCAGGGTCCATTAAACCTAGAGGGCAGCAGACGATTAGGATCCCAGGGCTCTTACATTGATAATCAATTATTATTATTTCATTCATCATTATTATAATCAATAATAATCTCAGTTTCATTGTAAGAAGACATTTTAGTTCCACTATGGAGACATATTATTGATCCAGATATTGATCCAAGATATTGATCACTGGACAGGGGTGTTGTCAGGACAGGAGAGTGTCAATCCATTAAACAAAACAAATATTTAACAACCTACATCATTTCAATTTGATTATTGATTGTTATTATTATCTGATAAATAAACAGGCCTTCATTATTATTGATTAAACCAAACTCAGAGCGCCACAATGCATCTCAGGACCAATGAGTGCTACTGCCCACCAGAGTCCATTCACAAAACCAGTCATTTTACCTCCCAGTGCAACGTTCAAACTGGACAGAAACAAAACAAAATCACCCAAATTGTCTTTGTTTGTCTTTTCCAACAATCACCAAAAGTCGAATAATCCTTTAATTCACAGAGTTTAATGCTGCACAAAGGGGCTGCAATGTAGTCATTAGTTAACTGTTAGTTAATCCTGTGGATTATTACACCATAATATCACTAACCCTCTCCACAGACCCAGAGACAAAAACGCTAATTTTAGCAGATAAACAAAAAAATACACTCAAAACTCGAAAGAAATAAAATAAACTTATTAAAAGTGTTCTCTGTTAGTGTTTCCAACAAATCACAACTTCTGGTTTGGGTGGACATAAATCCTAATTCACCAACGTAGGATGATAAAAACAGCAGTTTCAGTCGGAGCAGACCGGGGGCTATGGGAAACAAACCACAGAGAGGCTGCATAACAACACAGGCAGGGAGAGGAGACACCATGGATACAGCTGATTTAATTCACTCTTCCTGTTGATATTACAGTTAACAGACGGCCAAAGAAGGAGAGGAGGAGGAGGGAGGAGAGGAGGAGGAGGAGGAGGAGAGGCAGATTACAGACCGCAAGCGTGCTCCGTGAGTGGCGAAATTACCGCTCACTGTCCTCCTGGAAAGCCCACGAAGAAGAAACACAAATTAGAAAGTTGTATAAGAACAGACAGGCAATAGACAGGACAGACAGGACAGGCAGGCAGGCAGGCAGGCAGGCAGGCAGACAGACTGGACCTAACAGCCTGGACAGGGACAAACTTGAGGGCAAAGGCAGGGCAAAGGCAAGCATATGAAACATCTATAATCAATAAGATCAATAATCAATAACGATTAATAAAGGACATGCTTGTGTGCAGCTACAGGGACTTCATGCAGTGGGAAGAGGAGAGGATGAAGGGTCTGAACTCAGATTATCTGTCAGACAAGGGATTAAACAGGCGCTAATCCACAGCTGGTCTGAGCACGTGCCACAACAAACAACAACAACAAAAACACACAACAAACACACAAACAAACAAACAAAACATGATCAACCTCTTAACTGACTTCCTAGTTCTTGTGAACTGGTTTTACCTTTCTGGACCTCCAGCTGCTGATCAGAATCAACATAAACAAACAGACCGGATGTTTTTTACACTCCACAGTCCAATGATTGGTTATTGTTGTTTGTTGTTATTGTTGGTTTGTTGTTATTACTACATTACATTACATTACATTACTTATATGTAATAGACATGTTCAGTAAGGGTTAATGTGCTGGATGTCTTTTTAATTAAATATTAATACAATTACAAAAAAGTAAAAAATTTAAATGTAAATAATGTGAAAAAATGTATAAAATATTTATATTTTACTATTAATTTAAAGAACCATTAATTGTTTAAAAGATTGAAAATACATAATCACATATTTACTGTTTATTTAATAAACTGGTTAAATTCAAGTGTATTGCTGTTAATGACGTTTATTAAAAAATGATGTAAAATCAGTGGATCATTAACAGTAAAATATTAGTTGTGTAACTTTAAGATGGGATCAGTTAGTTAACTGGACAGATATCTTTATAATGATGGAATGAATAAAATGTTGTTTATCAGTGTATAAGCATTGGTAAATGTCCAAATACAGTTTTTGTTATCAGTGTAAAACAGCAATACATTACTGTAATATACACACATAATTGACTTTTATTACAGTTCTATAACTTTTAACATTCACATTAAAATAATAACAATCCAATTAATAAACAGCACTCTGCTCGTAAATGTAAGTCTGATTATTGTATTATAAAAGCAGATTCACCTGGGATTTTATAGATCATTGTTTTTACACTGTAAATATCTAAAGATTTTATGTTAAATTAAAGACACAATATTGTTATTTAACTTCTAAATCTTTAACAGTGATTTATCTTCTTAATGTTTGTTTTGGTTGTGTGGGAATAATAATAATAATATCTATCATGTGGATGTCACTTCCTGTTGTTTGGGTTTTAGAGGGTCAATAAAGTTGATCAGCTGATCAGAAAGAATCAGGTTTGGTCGGAGGTTTTCCATGGGAGTCCTGAAGGAGTCTGACACAGTCCTAACCATCACTGGGCTTCAATGTGACCCACTATTATCCAGACCATAATACTTTCTGGGATAGGGGGGGGGGGAAGGGGAGGGGAAGAAGGGAGAGAGAGAAGAGGAAGAGGAAGAGGAGGAGAAAATGTTAGAACGAGATAAAAAAGACTTCAGGTTTAACAGGTTTTAAAGAGTAAAACAGGTGCGTTTGTTTTAGACCTCTTTGCTGTCTGTGCGGGTGGAGCTGACTGCTCCCTGAGTGGTAAACTCCACCCGGCTGGAACGCCCAGAGGAGTAAAACTAACAGCAGCGTAGGTTTAAGGTGGAATGGAGGAGTTAGTTGTACCTTGTGGCTGTGAAACAGCTACAGCGGGCGGGAGGAGACACAAGAGGAGAGACTGAAGGTTAGAAACCAGAGGTCAGAGGTCAGAGGTCAGGCTGGAGGTCAGGCTGGAGGTCAGTGGAAGCATAGCATAGCTCCCTCCAACCAAACTCCATTGAGAAAAGCATTTGATCGTGACGTATTGATCGGTTTATTGATATTGAATCAGATCTGATAGAACGAGAGGAGCTCAGTGACAATAACAACATCAACATAATCAATACTAAAGAATCTGATTGAGCCTGTGTTTCCTATCAGACCAATTAATCATTATTGATCTTCTGTTCCGAAGTGAGTGCAGAGAATGTTCCAGCCACAGCAGCCAATCAGTAATTGATGAGCTCTGATTGGATATCAGTAATCAATGAGCTTCAACCGATCAGAGTCCTTTGGTTTGATTGATCTCATTAAAAGTTACACTGAGAAGCACAACAACTGGTAATAATAATAACAATAATAATAATAATAATAATAATAATAAGTTATTTCTGAGGATCCACTTTTTAAAACTACAAACATGGCGTCACAGTGAGAAGAATGCTGAGTAAAGCTGCATTTAAGAACACAAACGTTTGATAAAACAGTTTCAACAGTTTCCAGCTCAGTGAATGTTTGTGTGCATTTAGTTCAAGTTAAAGACACTTTATAATGTTACTACATTATTATATAATATAAATATTGAGTAACAGTGTAGCACCAGGACAGATCCTCGAAGAGCTTGATAGTTGTTGTTGTTGTTGTTAATATAAGTACTCTGTGCAGTTTGTTATAAAGAGTTGTAGAGGTACTCACCAGAGAGAACGGAGGAATAAAAGCATCCAAACATCTGCTGACTGACTGACTGACCGACTGACTGACGATCACACCCACTGTTACCCACACACTGACCTTTGACCTGTGACCTCACACTCAGGAAGTAAACTCACCCAGAACCTGAAACAGTACTACTAGAACCTACTAGACTCTGCTCAAAGGCTGACCTTTTATTACTTTATTACTGTTATTATTATTATTATTATCATTAATATTATCATCATCACTACTATCAGAGGCTGTGATTGGACGTTGGTTAGAATCAGCAGCCAATCAGGAGAGCCCTCCCTGGACCAATCAGATGAAGCGGTGTGTACCTCTTTCTGTTGTCTCTCCAGCTCCTTCATCCGGATCTCTCGGGCCTCGGCTCTCGCCGCTCGCTTCGCCGCCAGCCTCGCCTCCGCCTGTCACACACAGATCAATATTACTATTGATTATCCATAATCAATTATTTAACCCTTGGAGCCATCAGCTGCTGGGAATAAAAATATAAATATGGAAATAACTGTTCAATCGATCACCAATGAATAAAATCAATAAATTAAAGATTTACTGAGCAGCAACATTATGTTATTGAACGTTACTGAATGTTAATGAACATTAATGAACGTTATTGAACATTAACGAATATTACTGAACATTACTGAACATTATTGAACATTACTGAACATTATTGAACATTACTGAACGTTACTGAACGTTACTGAACATTAATGAAAATTACTGAATATTATTGAACATTATTGAACATTAATGAACATTAATTAACATTAATGACATTAAAGGTTATTGAACATTATTGAACATTGCTGAACGTTAATGAACATTAATGAACATTAATGAACATTAATGGACATTATTAAAGATTACTGAATGTTAAGGAACATTACTGAACTTTACTGAACGTTATTGAACATTGCTGAACGTTAATGAACATTATTGAACGTTATTAAACGTTACTGAACATTAATTAACATTATTAAAGATTATTGAACGTTAATGAACATTACTTAAAGGTTATGAACGTAATTAAAACATTATTGAACATTGCTGAACTTAAATGAAACATTATTGAACGTTATATTGAACATTAATGAACATTGCTGAACGTTAATGAACATAATGAACATTTAATGAACATTATTTAAAGGTTATTGAATGTTAATGAACGTTAAGGAACATTATTGAACATTGCTGAACGTTAATGAACATTATTGAACGCTATTGAACGCTATTGAACTTTATTGAAAGTTATTGAACATTAATGAATGTTATTGAGTGTTATTGAATGCTGTCTGTACACAGAGGGGAAGATATCACAACAATAAGAGTAATATATTGATTAATATACACTGATCAATAAACAATAATAAATACTGGCATAATTTTCCTCCAGCAAGGGGCCTCTCTCTCTCTCTACCTGTCTGT